AGCCAAAATGAAATTTTTACTAGTCTGTGGCTAGTTGGCTACCATTAGTCTCGAGCCCTGCACTAGACAAGTCGACCTCATGAATTTCAGAGTAGGATAGCTAAGCGAGCGAAGCGAGCAGCGAGGTTTTAGGTCGCATGGCGGGTAATGAATAAAAAAGATGAAGGACTTTTGTGAAAGTCTAAGACAGATATATCACAGTGTCAAAGTCCATGCCAGTTAAGAGGTCCCCTGTATAAACTACGATTTGTTGATACGCTGCGTGACGGCGCCAGTTTCCGTAGACTGGCAAGTTTAATAGAACTAAAATATTTACATTAGCCTTCAAATTTCGTGCTAAATACTCTCACATTAACTGGTAATGTTTAAGCGTAAAAGCCAATTTGTAAATTATATTTTTTACGTACATTATGTACATTGCAAATATTTGCAATCGCATACTCGTTTATCGTAAACAAACTGTGTGACTGATTTAAATATTTCCCCTGATGCATAAAAGTAGACATCGATATTTACATTGCCGTTTCTTGGTTCAGGCTCACTCTTATGGATCTTGCCCTCAGAGTACTTTTCCACCGATTCCAAACAATATTCGAGTGGATGAAAAATGCAATCAAACTACAGCCAATGAAATATAGCTGTTCCCACGGTTAACATCCCAAAGCCAAGGCGATTCAAAGTCCTGTTCGTGAACATATGAAATAAACAAGGACAATTCTCTCAGATTTCCATAAATTCACCGAAATCCAATCCGTTCAAATTCACCGATATCCAACGCTGAGAGTACAAAATAGCGAAGCCTACGGCGACTGAATGGAAAGAAAGATCCAGGGCATAGACGAGCTCACATGGCCTGTTCATATGCTCACATGTTCGTCACATGTCTTAGTAACGGTACCAGTTTACTGGCCGTGACATGCCCCTGCAAAAGTCAAGTGGGGTGGCCATTTTGGTGTCCTTACAGGAATGTGGATTTTTTTCTGCATATAACCGTGCACAGGAAAACCAACTCTAGAAAACCACAGGCCAAAATTAGGCTTGCGTTCTATATGGGCCGGGAAGAAAGGAGAGTTCAGGGACTGGACTAGCGTTCTCGGAACGCAATAATGAAGAAAAAAATTCTAAGGTACCTGGAAGTTCGCGAATTTCTTGGACCTTAGGTACATTGTTTGCACACCACTGCCATTGCCGACGTTGCCAGGACAACTCATATTCTTTATCGTTAAAACATGAAGCAAGAAGAAAGACATCTTTGCTATCTGCAACCTGAAAAGCAAACAAATATGACACTTCTATTAACGCTTTGCTCAGGTATAACGTTCTCATGATCATACTTTCAGATTGTTCATACCCTAACCACAGCTAAAATCCTGACTGACATTCTCCTAATTTTCTTTTATCCCTTTCTTTAGTCAGTTACACTCATTAGAACACAATAAATTTGACTGTTTTTTTTTTCCTTTGAGATGAAATGTTGGAGACATTAAGACACTATGAAGGAAGTTCTAACAAAACCAGTTGCCTTATTTCCAGGGTTAGTAGGACTAAAATGCAAGACATGGTTGCCACTGACATCATTTTTCAAAATTCCCTGACTTTCCCGTGATAAAAATACAATTTCCCTGATCATATACATACAAAATATCAGATATCACGATCGCGTCTTCTAGCCTCCCCTGACAGGCGCCCTTTCCACTTCTTCATCAAGTGCAAATATCACTGAGATCACAATGACCCCAGAAGTTTCTTCCAACCTTAAATGCTATTGAATCAGCCTTCATTTTTTCTGACTTTTTTTCAAAATGTCAGTTTTCACTGACTCAAAATGAAATTCCCTGACTTTTCTCTGACAATGAAATTTTTTTCCCTGACCATTCCAGACGTGTGGCAACCCTGCAAGAAACTTTAACTTTGTAAATGTAGAATAGTTGACGTCTACAGACTTTTAGCTTATGGCTTCATTTGGTATTCAGGGGCCCCTCACTGAAAACCACACGTGTCGTTGGCTCCTTGTTAAAATATCTTTATTATTAGAAATTACCTCCATATCAACATTGTTAAACGAAGAGTGACAACAGAATCAATTCGTGGTCAATTCTGCCGTTATTACGTTAAATGTACCCTAGCTGCAAATCATAAAATGACACCTCTAATGTGATCTTCGAGTATAGTATGGGGAAAACAGTGAAAACTACTTAAGATGCGTTTGCAATTCTTACATAAACAAACAAGATCCCCTTGGTTGGGCGAAATACATAAGTCAGCAGCCAAAACTCAGAAGCGGCGGATTGACAACGTTCCATCAAATACTCAGCTGATTTCTGTCTAACAGTCAGACCCTCGCTGTTTGCCGCAGCTGTAAATTCTGGAAAGCAATCAAACTCAGGTGCTGTGAATGAAAGTAAAGACAATTATTATATCTTACATAAGGTTCCGCTACCCTTTCAAAAGGGAAAGGTAGTTACAAAACAGCTCTTATACCCAACTTCAAAGCTACAGATGTACGGTCTTACAAGAACACTTTATTTATTATAATAAATTTACATTGTAAACACTCATTGTATTCGATTTTCCAGTGATTTTCTTACCTTCATTAACTGGTTTGCTGTTACGCTGTTGTAAGGAGTCCATAGTATTAGACTTGGGATCGCCCTTGTTTCCCACAATGGTGCGTAAATGTTCTGAAGACTGGCGAGCTTTAGCTGCGTCAACATGCATCTTGTAATATGCATTTCTTTCTGTACTTAACGTTAGCAAGTAGCCCAACCTTTGATAAGCTGTAATAAGATGATGCTGGACTGCTTCGTTGCCTAAACACAGAAGGAAGGATATACCTGAATCCTGGAGATATTTTACTTGTCGTAGATTGTGGTCTTCTTGAAAATGGTTGGCTTGAACCAGGTGGAGACCATTTTCTTTCCATTTGAGTGGCTTTGTTTCATAAAACGTTTTAACATTTGCTTTGCCTCTTAGAAATGCTCCATCTTTGAGAAACAAAATCAGGCTTTGGGTTAGCCTTGGCTTATTAGCTTCAATGGCATCAGCTCCATGCTCCCAAACTGGTTGTTTGCACTCCTCTGCCTTCTTCTGAATTTCTAAAATGACAAAAAAGGGACAACATCAAAATCTATCATTCGGTACTGAATACATAAACATCACGCACGCATGCAAGAATAAAGTTTGGAATAAATTCCAGGAGTGGTCCTCAGTCTCCAGTAATACGAAACTGTTGCTGTCAGAACTAGAGGTTATGTTCGCAATTATTCGCTGTCACACTTACTGTTTAGCCCTCAACCATCTCATCATTTTGGGTAAATATTTCTTATAATTATGTTAACACTTTAAATACCATAAAGTACCAATTCAATGATTTTGTCTGACTTGTGCGTGAAAAAATCAATCTAGAAAAATACATTGCAGTCATTTCTAATGAGGAGAAGGAATTCATGAACAAAAGGAAATTTTTTCTGTCTTTATAAAATTGTTTTGTGTCTTTTTCCTTCTCAGCTTTTGTATTTTGATTTGTTTCTTTTCACTACCTATTTATTTAATAATCTATTAAATTCTAGAAAATTAATAAAACAAACAAAATTCTTATTACTGACTTGAACAACTAACATACAAACAATAACGTTGTAAATAGATCAACGGTAATTTAATTTGACTAGTGTAATTGTATTGTAATATATGTATTGGAAGTAGTGCAAGTTAATGTAGGGTAAGCATTGTGTAAGAGGTAAGTACAGTGTAAGTACATATGTAAGTGTAATATACAGAGTTATTTGCAGTGTAAGTAACAAAAATTTTAAGTGCCACTAACCGCCCAAAATTTTTTTCCTTTAATAAAATCTATTAGTTTCCCTGATTACCTCAGCGAAAAAATTATCTCAACTGATAAAATCCCTGCGTTTCTACATGCGTTTAAACATGTAATTTCTATGTTCACGACCGCGCAAAGTGGGATCATGGTCGGGCTACTAGTGACGTCACTACGGGAACTGGGCTAAAACACTCAAGAGACTTTTGACTGAGCTTCGAGGGCAGTGAAATCATTTTCGGGTTATTTGTGATTCATATTTTATCAAAACTGGACAAGAACTTTAAGTGAAAGAACTGTATCATCTAGCATTACAATTCTAGCCTAGCTACGATTTGGACGGCTGCGAAGTACATTTCGATGTGCGGGTCGCCAGTCGCGATCGCCGCGTTGTACAATTATATTTAGGCCGGGATCGACAATTTGCCGGTCCATTTGGGTTGTAAAGATACAAACAATGACTGAAGAATTAACTTACAGCTCTTAAAGAGTTCTAAAGATGTCAAAAAACACGAAGATTTGGTAATTTGACTTTACGGAACGTGCAAATTTCGGAGTGTCAAAACACTGTTACATTCAAATATTAATTTCCTCCGAAATACAAGTTAAAATGCGACGCAGTCGCTCTCCACTCCTGCCTACTTCTCCAGATCAATGACTGAAAAAAGTTTTAACATAAGAAATAAGCAGAGATGTCGGCAAACAATATTCGAAGGTGAGGTAACTTTTCGCTTTGTTATTGTCGACCGACCGTAGTATATGCATATTCAATTACTGTGTACGAACACAAGCTACGCAAATTTGCATATTCCGTACAAGTGAAATCATGGAAAATCCTTTGACAAGATCTTGAACAGAGGTTCAGTATACTTTCAGTTAAATCTATACATTTCTACTTCACTGTTATTTTGAATGAAATGTCCATTTTATGCACGCTAATAACATGGGAGTCCTCGACTTAGTTTGCGTTTCAGTTGACTGACAAGCGTATTCTTCTTTCAGCACAACAATCTCCGACGGTGTAAAATGGGGTTGACTAGCCTACACGACTCCTACGGTTCGTGACATTTGTACATTTGCCGTTCTCTGTTCGGTCACTGGACCTTTTTTGTAGCTCCACTCGTGTTTATGAACGGCACTTCATGTTGTGTTATAAGGAGGAATTTTAAGTACAGTTGAGCCGTTAGATTGTGCTATGGCAAATCATCCTAGGTCTGCATGATTTCCGCTGTGATCTGCATGTCGCTTCGTCGAGTTTGACACCTCTGTAATTTGCCA